CAGGGCACAACCTGTCCCTGGCGATTGCTTTGGCCCGAGCCGCCATGGAATGTGTACTAATATGCATAAGTAGGCACGCAAAGTGGTTCGGGTTCTGGGATTGAAATTGGGCAAACACCGAAACTGTGACCCATGGCACACACACCAGTGCACACACTAGCATACAGACCACCCAATACACACACACTCCCACACCCACACCCACACCCACGCACATTCACGTCAATCAATATAAACGCATTTTCATAATTAATCAATGCTGAATAATTCGTCAGACAGAGTTGGGTTATGTTGTCACACTGCGCTTGAGGGTGATGGTGAGGGTGAGGGAGTGGGAGTGGGACAGAGGGGATAAGAGTGCGCGTGTGTGAGTCTATTGAGGTGTACTTATGTGAGCGTGTTTGTGTGTGTGTGTGTGTGTGTGTGCGGGGGGAGGGAGGTAGGAGCATTATGTGGGGGAGTGTGCTAATAAGCAAATCTCAGAGGTTTGTTTTGGCTTTTGTCGGTCGCAGCGGCGGCTTTGTGGTTACCGCATGAAATATCTATCCGAAGCCCACACACGAGTTGGCAGGAGGGGACCAAGCCAACTGTGAAAGCCATGTTTACACTAGGTCAGCCAAAAGTGATAGTGAACACAACACCTATATATAGATTCGAGATTCGAGATTCCAGATTCGAGAGCGGAGCGTGGAGAAACACAAAGTGAGAGTCAGAAATTACCAGATATTACGGATTAGAGCGTACCATCTGTGTATCCGATAATTATCGGCAGAGTCAGTTCTTGACTCTTGGGAGGCAAATACATCTACGGGTATCTCCCCTACGCGATCATCTACAATATCTTTCAACTTTTAGGACAACGAAATTTATGTTTAAAGATTATTTCAAAATCAAACAGTCTCTTCGTTCCAGGGGTACACAGCATCCATGGTTCAAACGTGGCTCTAATAACCTCATTAGCTCATTTGCCTCTCAGTTGAGTTCTCGCATAACAAAAATAATAATCGCAGCTCGGGGCAACTAAATGACTAAATGACTAAAGCATCGTTCATCCAAACTATGCCACATTCCCTCCCTCCGCATCCGCATCCTCATCCGCAGTCCAGTCTCTTTTCCTGCCCCATATCGAGTGGCAGCGTCTCTTTGTGCGCGAGTGGAGTGGCATGTTCTGCGTATTATGTGTATTTAAAGATCATTAGTGCGCCATTTATATGTAGATATACCCGCTGCCAGATTTTGTAGATATACATACATACGTATGTATTTATGCACATGGGTATATCGATTCCCACCAGTTGAGCGGGCCCAGAGCTGTGTGGCGGCATTGTTAAGAATGATTAAGAGGCTACGATGGCAGCAGCGGATGGCTGCAGGAGTGGCTGTTGGTAAAAGCTGGTGGGGAGCCCTTACTCTCGCTGGGGCTGATGGTGGTGGGTGTCAAGGCCAAGCGGCAAGCGGCAAGCGGCAAGACATGTGTTCGCGTGTACCTTAATCAAAGCCCAACAGGATGTGGCCCAGAATACCACAAAACGAAAATGGCAAAGTAATTGGAATTTAGCCTCTAATGATGAATAGGCAAAATCAGAGTTTAATGACAAGTTATACGTGGTACATACATACATATGTATGTACTTATGCCGTAAATTTAATCGAAAAATATTCTCTCTTCTGTCTTCTGCCACTTTGAATATATTTTAAACCCTCATTCTTCTCGTATTCCGCCATATATCGATGTCAATTTACGGATAGCGATCTAGATTCCATTAAATTTATAAAAAAGTACTTTTGTCGAAGTGTTTTTGCATACATTTGCATACAAATAAAAGGAGCGGAGCCCGAACCGATCCAGATAAAGAACAGGGCCAGGGCTGGCAAAGGTTGCGGATTAAATTAATGTGGGGACACAGGGACAGAAACAGAGACAATGTGAGCAGCAGTTGCCGCGCCACTCGCTCTAATGAAGCAGCTTCCACACATGCACGCACACACTCGCACTCACGCATCCGCAGCTTCAGGGAAATAGCGAAAATTCCATGAAAACGCTGGAGCCGAGCCTCTGGAGGCAGCAGCAACAAACGAAGCAAAAGGCAGCCATAAATATTTTTCGAAATAAATTCTCGTTTACAAATTATGATTTTATGACTTTTTGATGGCACCGCCACAAGCCCACACACTCACGCAATGCACAAACAAACACACACATGCACACACACACACCGACACATCGGGGCAATATATTTCCGCTCAGGAAGAGAGTGAGAGACTCGAAGGCAAAACGCTTTACGTATTTATAGCCCCTTCACGCTGCCTGCCCTTCCGCCTTACATATCGATACAAAAGGCTCTCTCTCTCTCCCCCCACCATCATCCCATCGATCGTATACACACACACACACACACACAAAGGCGAAAAACTTCACACATTTTGCATTAAAAAATTGGCACAAAAAACAAAGTGCGAAAAAACAAACCTTAAAGCGGCGCCCAACAAAAATGTTATTACACAAAAGCGCGAAAAAATTTCGTTCGAGTTGAATGCAAGTTCCATGTGTCTCCCTTTCTCTGTCCCCCTTCTCACGCCCTCTCTCTTTCTCGCAGTGTGTGGGCTGCAGCAGCTGCTGCCATTTCCCAGCTTTTCTGCTTTTCCCTCGATTTTTTGCTGCCTACTTTTAGGAGCATAATTTATGACCGCCCGCCATTAAATTAGCCAAAGCGCAGCATGAAAAATGGCAACGACGATGGCGACAAGCGACGTCCGGCGCTTATTAGGACCGACCGCCCAGTTGGCCTGGAATATGATGGCGCGGAGATGGCGCGGAGGAGGACGACGTGACCCCACCCCTGCCATTGCCGGACGGAGGACACATCCGTACAAATAGTTTAAATCTCATTTGGTCCCAGGCTGTTCGGGGGTAATAATGCTCATATTTGGCTTTGATTTAGTTGTCGCCAAAGGAGTTTTTTGACCGGAAAGCTTTGGGGATGCTTGTGGTGAACAGGCCCCCCATTAAGTGGGGCTTTGAGCAACATTTAACCCATTTTTCTAAACGAATTAGAATTCTAAATTGGAATTATACGGAGTATATCAAGTAAACAAACATTACTTGGTGGAAAATAAAATTAGATATATTTCCCAAAAAAAAGCGTACCGTTGACATTCTTTGGACAATTTTGTTCATTGGTAGCTTGTATTTTAAATAATTATTTATAATTATAATTATATATATTATTATATATTATATATTATAATTTATAATTAATATTATTATATATTATATACTATAATATTATATATATTATTATAATTATAATTGATGCCACTAACAGGGTAACGTCTAAAAATACAAACATCCAATACAAAAATAAATTTACAAAAATGACAAACTGGAAGAAACATTAAAAGTGGTAGAAAACTGCTACTTTGGATCACAATATCTTCAGGTATATCCAAATTCTATCACAATCACTCCTTTATGAGCATCCGACAGAAAGGCTAAAGTAGTTCAGTTGGGTTTCATATGTCTGTAAATGCGGATACGAATGGGGAAATCGTTTTGAATCTTCATTTAGAAAATATTATAAAATATGGGGACATGGTTTTAGTCGAAAACTTTGATGGAGAATTTTGTTTCACAGTTTTCGCATATATCCATTCATTCCTGCCATTTATGGCAGGCTACTTGAGGGGAGAACAATTGATGTATGATTATTGGAAGCCCCATTTGGGATCCAAATATGGAATCCATTTCTTAGCATCCTTTCCTCCACCCATTTTTGCTATTTTCCTAAGCCCACAGCACCACCTTCGTTAGGAACGAACCCTCGGCTGTGTACTATATGTGAGCTGTTTTATTTTCTTTTGTGTGTGTATGTGTTTGCTTACAATTATGAGCGTGTTGATGACAACATCGCCGGCTTCTTCGTCACCGTCATCCCACAGCAGGCATCGTCCTTCGTCCTTCGTCTCAAGCAGTCGCACACTTGGAAATGTGTACATTTTTCGCCAGTCTGTGCAGCGAGGGCCTTGAGCCGAGAAGTACGCAGCGTTGCAATAATAATTACAAATGTTGCACAATAAATTGCAAAGCAAACAGACTCGACGTTAGCAGAGGCAGAGACAGAGGCAGGGGAAGAGACGGAGGGAGCAACAGTGGCAGCAGCAGCGGCAAAATTACTTCCTGCTGAATCGTAAGCGGAAATGTACATACAAATGGCACTCACACACAAGCCCCAGCCCTCAACCCATAGCACAATCGTGGTAACAGGATGTGTCTGACTGGAGCAGCCACCGCCTTGCCCCTAGCCGAGAGCGTGAGCACGAAATCGAATGGGGACCGGCTCCGGCCGTGTCACGGGCGCAGCTCCAACGGGAATATTGCTCCGAGGAGTGGCATCTTGTCAAATAGAAAATCATAGGAAAAAGTCCCGCGGCGGCGACAAGATGCGTAATTGCAGAGCAGCTACCAAAGGAGTCGCACTGTTGCTCTCTGCCAGGGCGGTGCCAAGGCGGTGGAAGGATGTGGCAGGATGTGGCAGGATATGGAAGGATGTGTGCCCCAAATGCCACGGCTCTTTGCATTCCTCCATTGGTTTGCTGTGGTGCAGCTGTTGTCGCCTCCACTTCACTCCACTCCACTCCACGGCCACTCGCCTCTCAGCTCTCGCCTTCCGAGAATGCAATAAATCTTGGACTGGAAAACAATGACAAATTTTCTCTGCTCGTACCCGTACCCGTACTCATACTTCTTCTCCCTTTGTCAGGACGTGTGGGTGCTTTCCGCTGTCATTGCCAAGCCGGACATTGAGTTTCGTATCCGCTTATTGCCAACAATCCCCTCCAGCACCTGTCTTCCGCCTGTCCACATGCACGCTCGATTGAGAGTCTGTCCCTTCCCTTCCCTTCGCTTGAGATGATCAATTGGAAAGTTAGAAATGCGGGACAATCTCTTTTACAATTCAAATTATTGAAGATCTCTTGAAGGATCAGAAACTATATAAATCCTACAATTCCTCCTCAAACCTCATGTAGGCCTTGATAATAACCTGCGGTTTCATGTCATAGAAGAAATTAAAGTTCAGCAAATAGTCTCCAGTTGGCAAAGGAATGCGAAATACTTCCGGTCTGGGATAAAAGCCGTTGACATTCACAGAACCCTGAAAAATATCAGAAGAATCAATGTAGGTAGATGGGGCAGCCGAAATTAAAGCAGTATCCTGCAGTACAAAACTCACATAATAGGGACAGCTGTGATTGATGTTGGAGAACTCTTTGAAGCTGGCATAGACCAGGGCCACGAAGGGATTGTAGGGCTTGCGCAGATAGCGACAGGCATCTATGGTGACGTTGAAAAGCCAGGGCTGATAGCCATTGGCCTTTCGCAGCATCTCCAGCCTGAGGAACAGCTTGTCCACCGGATAGTGGACGGTACTGTTGATGTTCATTATCGCCCTGCCCCTGGCCACTGCCTTGAGACGGCAACTGTGAAACTCCACCAGGGACTTGTTGGCCGCCTCGCAGACCAAGTTCGTGAACTTGAATACAATCGCTTCCTACACGAGAAAGTGTAGTGTTAATAAGCTAATCACATTTCAATATGGAAGAGGGTCTTACATTGCTTCTGAATACAAACGAAAATGGCAAAAGTATTCCAAAAATAAACACACTTGTCCACATGATATCCAAAATATATCTGCACAAACTAAAACTGCTCATTGGACGTTAAACGCCAGAAGTTTCCGCTCCACCAGTCCCAAAATTAACTGAGCGTAATACGTACGTATTAGGTTAAATAAACTCTACTTAAAATATCATTATAGTTAATACATAAATGTACATAATATCATTGAAATTAAGCTCATTTCTGTACATACTGAGGCACGCAGTTCGAAATGATTTTCGTCGATTCCCATTACGCCTTTTATTTACCCGATACTCAAAGTGGGATATAGGGGTGGGTGTGGACAACACCCAAAAGCAAGCGTTTCCGACCCCATAAAGTATATTCATATATTCTTGATCAGCATCAATAGCCGAGTCGATATAGAGTGGCTATAAGTGAGAGCTAGAGCAACCTTTGATATCACATTGTTACAAGTATATCTCCAAATTTTCCACCGCCCCTTGCCGACCCACAAAGTACGAAAAACTGTGGCATCAAAAACTTTGAAGGTAAAGCAACAACGAAGAATCATAAAGGCATAGCCACAGGCAGAATGAGCAAACTAATTTGCCCTGCTTAACTATCCCCTTTCATGCGCTTAATCCATATCTACCTTGAACACTCGGGGCGAAGCGAGATATAATGGATGAGGTTGTTGGGAGAAGAGTTAGTGGGAGAAACAGATGTAGCGGAACAATGGAAACAGAATAATATATATATGAAACTACTAGTAATAGAAAGGGATAAACGAAGTGCAATAATTAACATTAGATCATTACCAGCGGTCGTGGGTGTTCTCTCTTTCTATATATTCTCTATATTGTTCCCATTTCTCCAGATAAGTGCCAGCAAAATGAAGAGGAATTCGCTGTCTGCTTTGGCAGTCCTTTGGCAGTCCAAATTCCTCCCCTTCCCACAGTAACCAACAAATCAATGTGTTCTATTTGATAACAGATATTCTTTTTTTCTTTCTTTTTTTTTTTACTTATATATCATAAATATCAGAAAGAAACATTACAATTACATAGTTTACTACGATAGCAACTTATACTATGGACTTAGGACAACTGACATTAATTAGCATTACAAGTAATTAACAGGGAGACAAGGAAGAGAGTGTAATTACATATAAAATATATACTGTTTAGGTTGCATAAATCATTGTATAGATAACGCGGCCATTGCCGCGGCTCTCCTCCTTTCCAATTACAATTGAAATTATTTTCTGTTGCAGCCGGCTACCAGGCGGCTACCATGTAGATCCCAGAACTAGCAGCGAGTAGAAGTCAGAGTGGAATCATGGTGGAATCGTCGAGCCTGGGTCGGACCCCTCCGGCCGCCCAGCAGCCCATTCCGCAACAGAACTCGCCCTCACCCTCTGGGTTGCGGTGCGGCAACCTGGAAACGCGGGTGCGCGGGGCCTGGTATCGGGTGCTAGTGACACTCGAAACGGACTTCCTGGCCGTCAGTCTGGACGAGTCGTGTGAGTCGGCGCAGCAATCAAATGATGGACAATCGACCACGCTGAATGGCACCTTGGGGTGAGTAACCCCGGCCGGGGTTAAATCGGTCCTCTCTTTTATCCAAATTCAAATTCTGCAGAAGTAATCACAGTGGCGGAGGTGGAGGAGCAGGTGGTGGAGGAGGCTCTGGTCAGAATGGCACCGGCACCCTGCCCAGCTCCGCCTCCCTGCAGGGCATGAATATCCAGGACACCGAAGTAGATGGTTCGACCAACAACGACAACGGAGATCGGGAGCGGGAGCGGGAGCGGGATCTCTGCCTGAACAACAACAACAATGCCGGCGATGGGGGCGGCATGGATTTGTGCGACGTACCTGACCATGTGGCCAACCAGAAGCGGCATGTGCGCATCATCAAGTCGGACAACAACGGCCTGGGCATATCCATCAAGGGTGGCCGCGAGAACCGCATGCCCATCCTCATCTCGAAGATATTCCGGGGCATGGCCGCCGATCAGGCCAAGGGCCTCTATGTGGGCGATGCCATCCTGACCGTCAACGGGGAGGAGCTGCGCGACGCCACCCACGACGAGGCTGTGCGCGCCCTCAAGCGCTCCGGTCGCGTGGTGGATCTGGAAGGTAGGTGCAGCATAGCATACATTTGTTACTCTTTCAGCCAGAATGTCAAATTGTTATTTGCTTAAAACATTTTGTTCACTCAGCGGTGGCTGGAGGACGTGGAGGGGCAAAGCAAAGAGCTTAAAAAATGCCATTGAGCGAGTCAAACTAACAAGTAAACTATGAGCGACAGCCACAGTGGGATGTAATGGGGAAATGAGTGGAAAGTTTTCTCGGAGAGTAGCTGAAAGATGATAGAAGCAACCTCAGCTGAACATTTCCACAGCGCTTTTGATGTGAATTTTGGTTTGTGATAAATGGCTGTCCCCGATGCTGGATAGATAATGTTTCCCCAACATGTTCGCCAATGATTAATTGACCCAGAGATTCGCAATGTTTTTGTCCTGTTTTTGGCGGCATCCGTGCCATGGTGGAGCGGCGAACTGGAACTGGGAGGCGGAACAGAGGGCTTAAGCGCAAATACATACGTGGGATTACTCAGCAAAACATGCGAGCTACAGCCACTGCCTGTGATGCTACTTCCACTGCCACTGCCACTGATGCCGTTGCAGCTGTGTACTGTTATAAATCCCCACCAGCAGCCAGCTCCCAGCAGCCAGCAGCCAGCTCCCCCGGACGAACTTATCCCCCTTCTCCCATGTTGACTGTTAGCTGTTGACTGCCGTTAGTGGCGCTGGTTTGTTGGTTGGTTGGTTGGTTGGTTGGTTGGTTGGCTGGATGGCTTCGCTCGTTGCTTGGCTCGTTGCTCGGTTTGTTTGCACCCGCCCGGCAATGAGTAATGAGAAAAGTTTTCTTTCCATTTGATCAAATGGCCCAAAAATACATAGTTGTTGGTGGAGAGGAGATAGCTGGCAGGCAGTTTGCGGCAGGTCAGGAGTGGCAGGGTGTGGATGTCACGCACCACATCCCAAACTCTTGGCCTAGCTGAGACATTTCCAAGCTAAAAGATGTACAATGTACTCGTACATACATCAACAAAGAAGGATTTATAGGTGATGAGAGTACGATTGGAGAGTGCACAAGGAAGGAAATACTCAATTGATTTAATTGGATCGAGCGAATCTTCTCACACGTAATCTATAGAAAACACTCCCTCGGGATTGTATAGTTCGTTCCCTCTTCTAGTTATCTAGTTATCAATACAAGTCAAAAGAGTCAGAATCCCATGCTGATATATGTGTGTCCGAGTAGTCCTCAGGTTACTTTAAGCCCCTTCAAGCCCTCTTTGGCTTCTGATTCTAGTAACAAGCCAAGTACATAATCATAATCATTCGATGTATACAGAATGAGCTCCTCCGCGAGAGCAGGGGAGAGCCAGAGGACAATGCCTAATCAAAATGTGCTGGCCAAGTCGGAGCATCGCTTCCTGTTCGGAGCACATCGCAATAAGCAATAGTAAGCATCAATTAGGCACTGTATGGGTGGACACACACTCGAGAGAGTGGCAGAAAAGCACAACAAACACATACATACACCCGCACATGCACATGTGCACCTGCTTGTGGGCGTGACCCAATCACAATCCAAGCCATTTGGCATAAACAATGCAATGAACCATGCAGGACAATTTTGCTGAAACAACTTCCTTCTCCTCTCTCTCTCTCTCTGTCTCTTAATCGAAGGGGAGCAGAAGGGGGAGCAGGAATCCACTCTGACACAGCCAATTCCATTTCCTTGACACACACATTTCCGGTGCACCAGCTGCTCTACTCCTCCTCCACCTCCACCAACAGCAAACAGCAAACAGACAACAGCAAACGCTTTAAGGTTCAGTTCAAATGGATATATACATATATTTCTTGCGTTTCTCAGTTCCAGTGTCTAGTGTCCTCCTAGATCCTCCTCAGGCGCTCGCTGCGAGAGCGTTGACGCGGCTGCTCCACAGCCAGAATGAGGCGACCGAACTGTGCGCCTCGGGATCCCAGGGGCAGCAGGATTAGGCGACCGCTGGCCAGCTCGTTAGCCAAAGCATCCTCCTCCTCCTCCTGCTCGCCCACCAACTCCACCTGGGACTCTTCCAGGTCCAACTCGTTCTCGGGCTCGCTCAGCTCGGGGGCTCCATAGGTGGAGGCGGGAGCGGGACTGGCCGGTGGGCCATAGGTGCCCGCTGGCGTGACCGCTTTGACCTCAACGTCTGTGGGGATTGGCTCCGGCTCATTCTGCTCCGCCTGGCCCAGGGCAGGGACATCAGCAACAGGCTGCTGGCCATCAGCAGCAGCAGCGCCATCGGCGTCGAAATCCTCGACAGCCTCGAGTACAGGTGGCTGAAAGTCCCGGGCCGGAGCCTGGGCCACCACCTCCACGGTGTCCTGCTGGTCGTCGGGAGCTCCATAGGTGTTGGCAGGCGTACGGAGGGCGACCTCCAGTTCCGCTTCAGTCTCCGTTTCCGCTTCCTGCTGCTCCACTTCGGTGGTGGTCTCAGCCTCAGCAACAGCATTCTCCAGGGTCTCCACAGCTCTGGGCGTGGTTAGGGGTTCCGCCTCGAGCTTGGGCTGCTGCTCGCTGGGCAGGCCAAAGGGGATTCTGGGACGGAAGCCAGCCGCTGGGTAGGGCGTTGAGGAGTACTCCACCTGGCGCTGACTCTTCAGACGCCGCTGGGGCATGGCTGAGACGGTGGCCAGGGCCAGGGCTGCGGCCAGGATGAGGATGGAAATGCTCTTCATGTTTCACGCTCTGCGATTGCTAACGGTTTGTGTCTGGCTGCTGTGGGTGCTCTCCTATTTATACACGTGAGTGCCATGCCTCGTATCCATTCGCGTGCCTCTTCCTCCATCCATGCCAATTCTACATCAGAATTCAGTAACGGTCGCAAGGCCGTCTGTGAGTTTCGAGTTCGAGTTCGGCTATGATAGCTCTATAGCCATGCTATGGCCCAGAGTCGATGCAGTGCACAGTGGGAATGCGAATGTCAATCGGATTGGGATGGGACTGACACACGACAATTATTGGCGCATTTAAAAACGGTTCGCGGCCCATCAGGCTCAATGTTAATGTCGCTTTAATATCAACAGCCCCAAACTTTACTTAACTTAACTCAGCCCAGCTCTGGTCTGGCTTGGCCCTCCCCGAAACTCACGTCATCGTTGTCAACGTGCCTCGCATGCCACGCAGCTGACGCACGCCAGAGCCAGAGTCAGAGTCAGAGCCAGAGTCTGACTCTCATTTAATTTGAACACCGCACATGTCCATGTGGGAGATGGAACCGGTGTCGGTGCCCATGCTGATCCATTTCGCCGTCTCTTTCTGGGCCAAAAATTTATATTGGCAGCTAAGCACTGAGGTTTGGCGTGATGGAACGGAACGGAACAGAAACGAAGCCTGGGTACTCTATGGAAAATATCTTTTCATAATTTTAGGATATTATAAATAGAAATACAAAAGTAAAAACAAATCATTTGGAATTGGAACGTGAAGACATTAAGACGCAGTCCAAATGGTTTAATTCTCTTATAAGCTAAATGTAGCCTCCTAGACTCTAGATAATCGACTGACTAAAGCAGAGCTAAAATGCAATCCACCAAAGAGCCAATATACTCGTAACTCTGTTCGGTTTGGTGCTATTAAATTTGCCTTCATTGCTCGTTTTGTTGCCTGCTGAGTGTTTTGATTTTCGGCTGGCTGGGCTTGCGGTCGTTTCCATAATTTCAACGGTGTGTTCATTAAATTAAAGTGGCCCAGATCTATAGGCACGCAAAGTGGCGCAAATGTAATCACAATTTCAAAGGCCCGTAGCCATGGCATGGGGGACGACATGCTTAGCAGCTCATCGCCATCCTGGGCCCAGGCCTCCATCTCCACCTCCATCTCCACTGGCATCATCTCTTGATTCGAACTCCAATTTACAAGTTGGCCAAGTTGTTTGCCAAGCTCCGCTGGCCGCTGTGCGCCCAACTTTGGCCCAAAGTATTTGCGCCCAGGCAGCCGTCTCATTGTAATTTAAATAAGCCAGGAGCTGGGCTGAATGGGATTGCATGGAATGGCGTGGCATGGCACGGCAGGGCATGGGATGACTGGATATAACTGGATTCCAGCTCCAACTGCCAAATGTCAGCGACAGACTTCGGAGATGGCGAAGAAGGCGACGACAGTTGGACTTGCTCTCCTGCCGCCTGCCTACCAAAAAGTCCATTAGCAATGGTTTTTACAACTTGGCACACATTCGTGGTCCCAACCAACCACCCAACCACCCACCACCCCACACAACCTCCTCCACGGCACAGTCCACCCAAGTGGATCCTACTTAACCAACCTGCCTCAGTCCTGGCCACAGTCCTGCCCCAACTCTGTCCCTCCCGAGGAGCGCGTGAGATTTAACTCGCAAAACTTTTGCCCAAAGTTTGTTTTAACGCACGATTTGCCGAATTCCGAACGCCGCCTGCTGTTGATATCATATTCCGACTCGCCACGCCACGCCCACTGCACGGCTTGCCATTTGATTTATGCTCCTGGGCGGAGTGGAAGGGGCGGAATGGGTGGACTGGTGGATTTGCAGGATTGCGTTTTGTCGCTAAAGGTGTAAAAAAGTTTTTGGCTTGACTGCGAATTGAGTGGGGCGAGGGGGAAGGGCGGAAAATTAACTGCTTTCCAGCAATAATATGATCGTAAAGATCTGGGACTAGGGAAAATCGTCCAGGAGGAAGTGTAAAGTGAAGTGAAATGAAATGAAACGAAGCACAAAAGCTGGCAGAGGACTGAAATAATTGGGGGTTGAATAAAATAGTCGAACAATGGATTAGCATAGGATATATGAGGGTGTAAGGTGCTCCTAGCTGTTCAGATCCCCTTAATCGATGGTTGCTTTTACTCATTATTAATCTCTTTTTTGTTGTGGATGGAAGTCGTTCAAGTAAATTGAAACTAAACTAAAATTAAATTGCAGGAGGTAATTAATTTAAATAAAACATATCCCAATAGACCCTTTCAAATGCTGCTCGTAACTTTTATCTTCAGATAGCTTCCCCAATTCCCTCTTCCGCCTCTTTTCATTTGACTTTCCCCAAGCATTTGTCGAGATAACCCACATGCTCTGAGCACTAAGCAAATCCTCGAGTTGAATGTTTCCTAATGCCATATTTATTTGGAAAATGTGAGCGGAAAATATTCATACTTAAGCACCTAACAATTGTGGCCTGCGGCACTTTCAGCCAACTTTTCCATAACTTGTTTGTTTTTCTAGAATTGTTTTTAGCACACACATAGAGGAGGGAGAGTGGGAAGGGGAAGGGGAAGGGGAAGGGGAAGGGGAAGGGTCTGGTCCAACTTTATTTACACTTAAATGCAAAAATTTACACAACTTATTACAGTTGTTGCTATTGCTGCCATAAACTTTTCCCCAGTTGCAGTTGCGTTTCTCGTTTGGTCCTGTTTGCTCTTCAGTCCACTCCGAGCTAACCGACGGCCCACTGTCCATCCTCTCCTGCTAGTCCCAGTCCCACTCCCACTGCCACTGCCACTCTTGCAAGCATCATCAGACTTTGCGCCTGCCGCTATGCAACATTTTTTGCCACTGTTTGTTTGTCGTCGGTTGCATATTTGTGAACGTAAATGTTTGCAGAGCTCCACCAGAGACTGCTCTGGCGGCTTCCACTCTTAACCCTTTAGTGTACGTAAATGACAAGCAATTAGCAAGTTGGTGCGCCTGCATCTACATCCCCATCCCCAACCCCAATCCCATCTCGCTGTGGAGCCGTTCGCTCTAATTAGTTGAGCCAAACACACGAATCGAGTCGGACAAACCGCCGCCGCTGATGCTTACGCTATCGCTGCCCACCGGTGTGCTGGGGGCTGGGGACTGGGGGATGGGGCTGGCCGATGGCATTAAGTGTGAAAATTGAATTTCCAAATCACTCGACGACATCGTCGGGCAACAGCAAACGGAAATTGTGCAAATGCTGTGGGTGGAATGCCGAGTGGGGCCCAGCTAGATATGCGACAGTGGGTGGTGGTGGGACTGCGACTGCGACTACGACTACAACTACGACAGTTTACCTATTGCCGGGCCCAGCAAAGCACCTGGCATCGCCATCAGCATTTGCATAGAAGCTGCACAGTGGTGCACGTGCGGCACCATACAACGTACGACAGGCATCACCAACTGTTGTGGTGGGTGTAGAGATTACGAATGAATTTATGGCAAGGCACAGAGCAGTGTGCAAGTTAGTTTTGCCGGTTGTCGTGGGGCTTTGGCTGTGCAAATCGAATAAAAATGGAGCGGAAACTCTAATGAATTTATGCCGCAACGTTTGCCAAGACTTCTACTCCAACAGCGCTAACGAGACCGACAGAGCCAGAGCCAGAGCCGGAGTCAGAGTCGTCTCCGACTGATTGAATGTGTTCTGTGTCTGTGTGTTTGTGTGTCTGTTTGTCTGTGGTAGAAAGTTGTTGAGGACACCACACATCCTTTCCTGCGGCCTCATCCATATTCATGGGATTTGCATATCATTCGATTCCCGTATCCGTATCCGTATCCGTTTACTATAAGCATGTGTGCCTCTGTGCGGTATTTTTGCAGTTAAATTCCTACGCGAAGTGACGCCCTACTTTCGGAAGGCGAGCATCATCTCGGAGGTCGGATGGGAGCTGCAGCGCGCCTTCCTCTGCCCGCTGGGACCGGGCGTGCCCACCTCCCCGCCCGCACCAAAGACAACGCCGCGCGCGGACACGCGCTACATCCCCCTACAGCTGACGCATCTGGCCAGGAATCTCAAGTACATCGATCCGGGTAAGTGCATCCAACGGGAACAGCTCATGCAGCACATCACATCACATCACCTCACCAGCCGCTATTCTTCTTCTTCATCTCCCACAGAGAACCGCTGCTTCGAGCTGCACTCGCCGGACGGAGTGCACTCGTGCATCCTGCGTGCGGCGGATTCTGCGGAGGCTCTGGTCTGGTTCAATGCTCTGCACTCGGCCATGGGCAGCAGCACGCAACGGGCCCTGGCCGAGGCCAATCGCGCGCTCACCAATCTCATCGGCGAACTGAAGCACATCGGCTGGCTGAGCAAGCGCCTCAACGGAGGCAGCTCGGGCAGTGCCGGGGGCGGCGGAGGGAGTGGCAGTGGGGCAGCCAGCGGCGGCAGCGGCACCTCCAACAGCGGAGTGGCCGGCGAGCTGGTAAGTGTAAGTTCATCATCATCATCATCATCATCATTCCCTCTCCCCTACTATCCCGTGATTCGTTCATTAATATCCGCCCTATCCGAACTACAGATCGGTAGATTATAGCCAGATATTGTTAATGATTTTCCATATAAATATCGTTCACAGCCCAGCGGCCGTTCCAGCTCTGAGAGTTCGGACGAGAGTGACAAGTGGCTGCCCATATTCGTGGCCGTGACGGAGCGCGAGTTTCGGATATACGAGAGTGCGCCCTGGTCCGTGGAGGCCTGGAGTCGTCCCCTCGAGATCTATGCCTTGGCCACAACGCGTCTAGCCGGAGCCGGGAACAATTCCTCGCTGAACGTAAGTGCAACAGCCTTCTCCGTGCACCCACCCTCTCGGAGTCGTAAGATGTGCCTTTCTCTTTCAGGGCCAACAGACAACGGTGTTTTGTGTGCGCTGCGGCACCGCCAGGGGAGTCCTTGTCTACTGGCTGCGATCGGAGACGCATCGCGACATGGCCGCCTGGGCCCGGGCCTTGGTGCAGGGCTCCCACCAGGCAGTCAACTATCAGCGGGAGTTCTCCTTCCGCTGCCTCTACCAGGGCCGACAGTGTCAATTGGTTGTGCACATCAATCGTGGCTTTTTTCTGTACGATTGCGGTGGCTTCGCCCCCACCACGCCCACGGCGGCGGTGGCCGCCACCAAAACGCAGCTCTGGCAGTTTGCCTTCGACAAGCTAAAGGGCTCCGCGGACGATGGCGCGCGGATGTTGTATCTGGATTTTGGTGACGACGGCGAGATTGTGAGTCATGTAAATTGCTTTTCCCATCCATTTGGTGCTCATTTTCTGTTTCTCCCCCTGCAGGAACTGGACATGGAGTGCTGCCCCAAGCCGGTTGTCTTTGTCGTGCACAATTGTCTGTCCGCCAAGGTTCACAACATTGCCTAGAGTGCGCTTCAATTGGCTGGATCTACGATGTAAATGTTGATATTTTAGGTGTAATGAAACTTTGTTGTTACAAGTTTTGACCTCATTTTGAGCATGTCAAGTTTTAACCATTTCGAAGTGGGTTAAAACTCTTCAAGCTGTCTCCGATTTTTCTTTACGGACTTCATTAATTTGTTTTAAGTTCGTTTCACAAGCGAATGCAATATTTTGTTAACGCTGTCAATTAGCTAAGATTATGAGGAGGAGAGCTCGGGGGGAAAGTTCTTATTAGTTCTTTGCAGAAAGTATTTATGTTTATGTTTAACCGAATTTCTATAGTATTGTAGCCTCTATTAAGCCTAAAATGGAAACCCTTATTGAAATTATGGAGTCCTTCCAGCGAGCGACTTAGTTAATTTAGTAGGGAAAAGGATAGACATTTCGTGCTTCCTTGTGGCTGGGAAGGGAGTGCATTAGTTTGGTAGTTAAAGCAGGAAATAAGTGGAGTGTGACACAGAGTAGATTTTTGAAAGAAAACAAATCGAATAAACCAATGCAAATACCGAGTAGCACAAACCAAAAAGAAATGATGAGCAAAACTGAAAAACTTTATTTAAATTGTAAGTAGACGTAAATTCATTTTATACGTGTGTCCCATACACAGGATACATCTGAGGAAGGATCGAAAGGAACGAAATCTAAAGCTAAATCTAAACCTAAATCTAATCTATCTAAATTAACAACATTTGCATAAACGTTGAACAATAATTATCGTAATTGTACTTAACTAATTGTATCTTGTACTTGTACCATGTATCTTGTATCTTGTATCTAAACGAAGCACACATATCTCGATGGCCCCCTACCCGGGAGGCATTGATGTTGATCATGGACTAAACTCCCCAACTAAACTACATACATACATATAGCTGTACACCAGTCGTATAGGAACCCATACATACATATACAAACATATACATATGTGCATTCCAGGCCATTTCTCTACTCCCCGAATCTTCATGTACAAGCCATCTATCATATTCAATTATTATACATTTATACATATATACATACATACATACATACATACATACATACATACATACGAGTATCGTCGGTAACATGCCACATAATCATTTTATGAAATTTGAAATTTCGTTATAAACACAACAACAACAACAACAACAACAAACAGCAACCAAAAGAAGACGAACGACAGAAATCAATAAGAAAAAAAAATAACAAAAATAAGACGTACAATATTTTTAACGTAAGTAGTGTTGAATCTTCGATAATAAACTTATATAAATATATATATACATGCTATATATGTATATGAAATACCGTAAACATGGCATTTTTTTTTTGGGTTTTATACTTAAGCAGAGTGGGGAGAAGGCTTTGATTGGTTTCATCAGCATGCCATACATTTAATCTGGTAAGAAAGTAAACAAAATTAAATTAAAAATGGTACGTATTAAAATAAGGAGAGCACGATTTAAATGCACAGTTCCATTAGCATCATATTGCCATTCGCGAATGATATTTGTTCTGCTGGGATGTGGTTCGACATTGGCACTGAATGGATCGTATAGCCATTCACTTTTGACTTAAGTCCGGGGCCATTCTAAGGGAAAATTACTACCTATCGACGTGCGTAACCGACAGAACAAACCACAAGAATCCATCAAACAAAAAACATCAAACATATTTATGTTGCTTCCCCGAATGTTTACCTGTGTGTGTCTTTGGATGAACTTTTGCCAGCCTGTTGCTGCCCTCGGATTTATTTATTCCACATTTATTTCCTGCATATGAATTTATTTTCAATTTTATCATTTCCCATTTAAGACGAAAACAAAGTCACCCAAGAACGTGACCAGCATGTCCAACAGCTGGCACGGTCAAGCCACTAACTTTGCTCATAGCAAAGTTAAGCCGACAAAACTACACACATGCATATCAAAGACATACACACACACACACACAATACACACTCATACAAACATACATACATACAGCATGTAGGTATAGCTAGCAAGTAAAGGCGAAAATGTAAAGTGACTTTTTGGGGTTGGGTTGAGTTGGGTTGGGTTGGGTTGCGTTGGCACTCTGCCTCTGACCATCGTTTCGGTCAATGGGTGGTGCCCAGGCCGGGTTTGAGGTGTAACGACCCAGGCCGGGGCGGAGCGGAGCGGGGCGTTTCTGGCCTCCTTCAATGCCGCAGAATACACTCGGACACAAATGGAACCCACTGGCAGAATTACATTTCCGGCTTTTGGAAGCTTGCGGAAGTTTCGCGTCAAATTAAATGCTCAGGGTTAGAATTATGACAGCTCCCGAATTGGGGGGGAACTGGACCCCAGAGCGAGTATAAATACGCCTGGGCGGAAATTATCGCCATCAAAACGAAAGCAAATTGAGCAGCGAACATGTCGACAGGATTGGGAATGTGTGCCACACTTGTGCTGTGCCTGGCTCTGGTCCAGCCAGCCGTTATACGTCCTGAGCTCGATGCCGACTCCGAGTCCGAGCAAGAGACTACCACCAGCCCGAGTCTGGAGGGAGATGTGACCACCGAAGAGGTTACTACGTCGGCCAGCCCCGCTTTTAGTCGCGATGAGGAGGCTAGCATATTGATTGACCCGGCCCCAGGAACCCTCCAGGAGGATGTTGCACCCCAACAGAAGTCTGCGAAGCTCCTCCTGCTGAGCACCCCATCCAAGCGAACCGTGGAGATTGAACGTCAGCTGGAGGAGCAGGACGAGGGAGAGGACAGCAAGGCGGACGCTGTGGAAAGTGAGGCAGCCACCGCAGCCACCACCACGCCACAGCCCACCGCAGATGAGCAGACCACAGACAGCCAGGACCAGGGCAGTCCCACCGCAGAGGGCAGCGAGTCGGAGGAAACCACAACTTCGGCCACAACAAAACTGTTTACCATCGAGGGCACAGGCGGCGAGGACGCGGCCCAGCCCAATGTGGCCGTATCCCTGGCTCAGGACTCTGTCAACACCACAGTTTCGATTGCCGAGCAGCCGCAGGTGCCCGGCGACAACAATGCGGCCGTGGAACTCTCCCTCGTAGAACCGGAGGCCGAGTACGTGCTGGTTGAGAGCCACGGCCACCCGGATGAGCTGGACCTTCAGCTGGGGAGCTTCACGCACATCGACAGCGAAGTGCACTTGCAGCCGGTGGTGCACTCGGTGGAAATCGTTCCCACCAGCTTCGACGATCCTTTGATTGTCAATTACGTGCACAATTTGCGATGACTCTGACTGCGAGTAGATATGGAAATGGGAATGGAAATGGGGATGGGAATGGGAATGGGAATGGAATCAATTAGCAAGCTCCGGGGGTCCCTTTGATGATGTTAAAGTTGATGTTTGTTTATGGTTTAAGTTTAAATGGCTTTTTGAATAGATTTTCCCAGTAGTGGAGGACGATTACGAATATCCAGTGAGTGCGACCCAAACTTGAAACAATAAAATATCGAAATCATGTTAATAATATTCTTTTATTTTGGAAACCAAAAAAGCTTCAAAGAACCAACAATTTATGGCTTGCTCATAAGAAATCTTCGTAGATTCTCATCTATAAATATCTGTATATTTAATATAATATAATAATATTTATTAAAGATCGAAGAAGCAACCAAAATACTTTCTGCTTACATTCCTGTCCAACAAGTCCTAGTTCCGAATTCATAATACAAGTCCAATGGTCCCAGTGCTACGCTCGTCTCTCCATTTAAGCCTCCAAGGAAAGCGCTCGCATCCTCGTTATTCAATTTGAATGTTCCAAGGGGCAGATGGAGAACAGTGACAGCGGAGAGTGTGGTAGGGGTGGAGGGGATTTGGCGACGTGGCTGCTTCAAAGTCGCCCCATGTCCTTCCGCATGCCACGCACGTTCCACGGCTAAAACTTTGCACATCCGCACGTCAAATTTAATGCGGATGCATGGAGGTAGAGGGAGAGGGAGAGTTCTCCCACCAGATCCGACGTACTCTGACGGAGAGCTGTTTGTCTGTTGACTCCGCTGTCCCTGTCGCAAGGCAACTGACTGAATCGAACAACAATATTCAACAAAACATTCAATGACGTTAGACAAACAAAATTCAGAACGTGCCCGAACTTCCGGTGAAGATGGCAATGATAAAGACTGATGACGATATCATTTGAATGCTCGTTCTCGTACCAAAGTACATCCATATAGAGAGTGTCAGATTTTTAGCCTAGCCAAGAAGTTGTGTGGGAGGGAGGTAGTAAATTTGAATTGGGAAGGGGTTTTAGCTAAATATTGATCCTTATATGAATGCGAATTACGTTTTTAAATGCGCATTTTGCAGGATTAATATTTTGAAGCACTTTCCTTGTAGGTATAAATAACAGTAAACATATATTTATTCATTGCAAATACAAAAACCTATAAATACTGAACTATCAACAATAAAAAAGTCAAAGCTGGATTGCAGCTGGTGGATTCTCACCAGCGTTGCTCCACATGCGTAGTGTAGGCGAATCCCCTTCGCGGGGCCGCCAGCAGCGGCTGGGAGCGCAGGGGAATGGCCACTGGAATGGAGGTCGGTGGCTTGGGAGCTCTGGCTACAAGGACAGCCGGTCCCAGATTTGCAGTGACCACCACACTCTCCGAATCCGGCTCATCCTTGGAGCCGGGCTCTGGGGTGGGCATCAGGGGATTGGTGCTTACCCCGCAAACGGGATGATCGGCATTGCTGTCGGTGGAGTTGCTGGCCAGGAGTTCTTCGGGCTGCTGCTGCTGTTCCTGGTTCTCCTCCGTGGGCAGGCGGAAGGCGCGGCTGGGACGGTAGCCCGCGGCGGGATAGGGCGCCCTGACAAAGGCCCTGCCCGAACGCAGATTGTTAGCCGTGGGCGGGGCTGTGGTGGTGGTATCCAGTGAGTCCCAGGTTGTGGTGGTGCTCCAGTCGGCGGACTCTGTAGTACTGGTCGAAGCATCCTCAATGGGCACCTCAGTTGTGGTTGTCTCCGCACCCAAGCCGGATCCCTCGCTTTGAGCTGCGTCCGTCGCCACCTCCGCCTCCCCTGGAAGCCAGAAGGAGCGTCCCTGCGGCCGGTAGCCTGCTGCTGGATACGGCGTTGGCTTCAACTCCCTCACCTGGGCCGCCGCCTCATCCTCCTGCACACTGACAGCATAGCGATTGATCCGTATCTGACGCGCCTCGATACGACTGCCGGCTGTGAGGCACACGACGAGCGTAAGGAGCCACTGCATGCTGAACATTGATCTCGGTCCGGACTTGGACCCAACTGAATTGAGCTCCGGCTGGAGGCGCCGTTTTTATACAACGTTCTCGGTGGCTGGCTGTCTAAGGTCTCGAATGAAGTCGAGAGTCGTCCCGGGGAATATGGACATGAAGCTTCTATATCGACAGCGACATCGATTAGGCGCACGGCTATCACATTTAATGATTTATTTTGTATGGTTTTTCGTCTCTGGTTTTTTTTTGCACTCATCCCCCACAGCCCGCTGTCCACTGTCCACTGCCGCTGTCCACGTCCGCTGTCCACGTCCGATTTGTCGCCATGTTCTATGAAAATTAAATGCGTTTCGTACGTGACACGCAATCCAAATGCCATCCGACTCCAAGCAATTGAAAGCGAAAACCAACCAGCAAATAAAGATAGCTGCCGCTGTCGACTGTTGTTGTCAGTTGCATTATGCTGGAATTGTCAGTTTTAGTGTTAGAATTTTTGATTCAACACTTATAATCGATATTTATGCGATCGACGACTTGCCCCTGAGGTGACCGCCAAGGCCATGCGAACTACCCATGTCACGTCCTACGCGAGCCGTGGGCCAACATCATTTGGGCAATATCTAAGAGAGATTCCTTGCATATTATCTATGCCTTAGCAGTTGGTTCAGATGAACGAACAATCAACAGAGGAGTAAAGGGCCGAGAAACAAATCTCTGAGAATATCTCTATTCTTCAACCAAAACCAAAATAGTTGCAAGTTTGTTGGAATATTTATCCCTAATTTGGGACAGATTATGTTCACTTTGATAGGGATAGACTTTGATGGTCTGCTTAAACCGAACTGCCTGCCCAACTTGTCAAAGCATAGCGGCAGTCCGAGTCCGAGTCCGAGTATACGGAATTTATGGCCGATACATTAACGACACCTTCCCTCGCACATTTTAATGCTGATCGAAGTCGAATCAAAGTAGAACAGGGATCTGTCCGCATCCGCTCTGAATGTAGATTGATTAATGTCGGAACTATAAATATCGACGTCCAGACCCTCCCGCGACTTGGGTCTTGGTTTCCAGTGCTGATTCGGCTCCTGCTACTTCTTTCTTGTCACGTCGTTGGCGCATAAAGACGCCGCAGATGTCGCCGCACCGACCGCATCGATCAGGGAACTGAGAATAGTGCCGACGTCAGAGCGTAGGCCCAAAAAAGGATGCCTATGCTGGGCCCCTGCGCAGCACACTAAGCAGCTGCACACATTAGTGTGGAGTGGAATGTCCATTAGTGTCCAGACATGGTCCTACCTATAAAAGCGCCCATCGCTGCTGACCAAAGCATCAGTCGTTGGTTCAGTTCAGTTCCTTCCAGACAGACACACGCATCACTCACGCATCTTGCATCCACCATGGCCAAGTTCCAAGTGCTCCTCCTCGTGATCGCCATCGCCCTCAGCCTGCTGTCCCTGGCTGAAGCTCAGCGTCAGCGTTATTCGCAGCGCCTGAGTCGCGGACGCTCCCGGTACTCGGCTCGCCAGGAGCTGGCCCCAGTGGATGCTGGGGATGTGGATGCCGTCACTCCGTATCCCTCCGCTGACGAACTGAAGCCCGAGGTGCCCTTCGACGAGGCGGCCGCTCCTGCCGCCGTGGATCCCACCCCAGACGCCGTCTACGGACCCCCCGACGCCGCACCCAACAGCGTGCCCGATGAGGTTTACGGTCCCCCCGACGTCACCGGCAACGATCTGCCCGCTGCCGACATTCCTGCAGAGCAACAAGCTCGTCTGGTGGCAGCCAGGCGCGCGGCCAACTACCGCCGTGCCGGACAAGCCGTGGCATATCGCCGTGTTGCCTCCGCTGTGGCACGTCCGGCCAAGCTGAGTGCTGCCCGCTCAGTTGTGAGACGCTTCTAGATGCGGTCTATCGTTTCTGTCCCTCATTTGCATACGAGCTGCCTGGGCTGGGCAGCTGTTTAGTCAGATGTTGTACCCGGTACATTCCCAAAACCCATGACGTTCCATCGATCCAGCGATCCAGCAATTCACGATGATACACACTCTCACAGCACACACACATACACACACAGACACCCACCTTTACCATGACCATGTAGAGGTTCTCCCTCACACACAGACACACCACTGAACAATTTCTCTCGATTGTAAGCAGAAGCAAATAAAATATGTTTGGGGAAACAGAGCCAGAAGGTTCTCGCTCTCTACTATACGTACCTCTCTCTGCCTCTCTCTCTCCGGTGAGTCACTTAGCGATAAATGCTGTTACAGAGCGGAAGGTAAATTTGCTAGACGCTCCCAAAACAAATTGTTTGGAGGAGGCGGTAACCGGTTTCAGGACGCACCGCACGCGTCACACTGTAGACGACGATGACGAACCACAAAAAAAATTGCAGCATGTTGGGAATGGCCCGACCACAAAGAAAAACATGAAATTTTAGTATATTTAGGAGAGAAACGACTTGGGAGTACTCTAACTCAGGGTTGGATGGGGAAAGTAGCTGAATTTGCTGTCGGTCAAATAATTGAGAATGCTTTCGAGTGTTATTCTAGCCGAGTCAGTACGCAATTCCGCTGGAAGTATATTTGTTTAAAGCTTAAACAAAAATCAAACAACCCTCACGAAAGAGTAGAAAGAGATAATGGGGGAGCAGTTCGGTTCATCCCACGATCTTTCCTAGTAAATGCTGGCACGTGTATAGGGTGAATGCAAGTAAACAAATCGAGTCATTAATCGAAATATTTCCCAGAGCGAGCGAGGGGATAGAGAGAGTTTGAGCGGGGGGATCGAATCCATTACAATCGACTGATAAGCCAGAGTCAGAGACCGAACTTGGACTTGCTTAACAGCTTGTATGTTCGCATGTCTGAGTCAGTTGAGTAGAGCCAAGACGAAGATTGAGACTGAAACTGAGCAGAGATGCTGATTATTTAAGTCACCTCCCAAGCGACCGACGATCAGTTGCCGGACCACTGGGGACAAGTTAAGATCGCGGGAAGCTAACCGAGGCGGAGAAATTTAAAGAGAAAGGTGAAATTTGCACTGCCATTGCAAAAATGATGAACTGGATTTGTGTGGTGATGATCGCGACGCTGCTGGAAGTGGCCCAGGCCCAACGACCCGCCTTTGCGGGCTTGCGTCCGCCGGGTGGACTCAGCCAGAAGGACAAGTACCATGCCCCGCAGAATACGGCAGCAGAGAACATCACCGGAGTAGATATAGTGTCGAGATTCGGCGAACCCTCACCCACCCAGCAGACGACCATCATCGATTTGCCCCATGGTGCAGTCCAAAGGCCTCCCAGCGGAGTCCCCCTAGTGCTGCCCATCAGCGCCTACGTTCCCGATCCTCAGCCATCACGTCCAGTCGTCCCAGCCGTGGTCAATCGCTTTGGTGAAGCGGATGCCAGCTCACCTGCGCCAGCCATCCCAGCCATCCCAGCCCTCCCAGCCAGCTCACCTGCTCCTACTGCTGGTGCCCCAATCTTCACTGGCAGCTCCCCCGTTTCCGCGGCCAGTTCTCCGATTCCAGCAGCCAGTACTTCTCTCGTCGGCCTGCCAATCGATGCCCATGGCGACCAGGAGTATGTGAATCACCTCAATAGCCTTCCCCTGGAGAACCAGCCATTCTGGTTCATCAACTATCAGGCCATTGAGGCGTTGAGGAATAGCTCCAGGCCAAATGTGGGAGCTCTGGAGACGCGGGGATCTTTCTTTCGCGGCTAAAACTTGAATCTGTCCGCTTAGTTTTGTGTATGAAATTATAATAATATAATTATTTATTTATTTGTATAAAAAGTTAATTTATTTTTGGAAGTGTCGGCGCATGTTTTTGCGATGTAATGATGGGGGTTTTTCATGGCGTGAGATAACCTTTGGCTGCAGAGAATACGCTCAAATGGTTTCGCTTGGGAGCATCTCAGTCTGTCTTTGAATTGTTAATGGGAACTTGATTAGCGGTTGCCTCGAGAGAAGTTGAGCGGGAAGAGACCTAGATTGGCATTGCAATTGAGTGAGAATTGTTCTGCTACAATGCTCGTATATGTATATAAATATGGATGAACATATTTCGCATTTTAGACTATAAACAAATAGTATCATCATCGTTCAACAGAGCCATTTAATTTATACTCAGCCACCCATTAAAGGTGTACACTGTACAAGTACACCACATGCAACTCCACTCAACAGCGCTTCACGATAAAATAGCCTGCATATATGCATCGGAGCCCTGTAGCCGTACTCATGGGTACTCGCATGGGGCTTAAATGGGAAAAGCATTAAAAATGCATTGAACAGAGTAGCACAAAAGCAGGCAAAGTGTGCGTGTAAGAAGAAACCCTTCAAAAGCTGAAAAAGCAGCTCGCATATGGTATCCTCTCTCGAGAGAAGGAGCAGAAGTAGAAGGTGCGGTGAGGTGAGGTGAACTTTGGTTAAGGGCCAATAGGTTGTGGAAAGCGGAAAAGTCTTTGCTTTGAGTGATGCTGCGGGGACAGTGGAGACTATTGTTCGGGGAGTGAATCAACTCAGGACTGGCCACCAGAATAACTGAAGAATATTCAGATTTCTAGCTGTATTTTAGTTCTTCTTTATCCTTGAGATGGTCTGCAAAAGAATCTTAGTTCAGATAAAGATCACACTCGTATCATTCCATTACCAAACATATTGTACTCGTATATTTATAATCACAAAGAACAATGCCATAACAATTAAAATTTACTTGAGATTTACCAGCCAAGTTGCTGGGGAGCTGCGCTGTACGCAAGGACATAGGGTTGCTGCTGAGCTCCGACATAGTAGAACTGGGGCGCGGCCGGAGCTGGAACGGGGGCGACAGCTTCCTGAACGGTCAACTCCTCGAGGCGGGCCGTGCGCTGCACCTGACGCTGGCGCTTGGCGGGGGCCACCTGGAGCTTGGCCAATCTCTGGCGGCTTCGCAGGCGGGCAGGAGCTGAGGCAGCCGTTGGGGTGGTAATCTCCAAGGAGCTCTCCTCGGTGTCGACGTCCTCGGCCTCGGGGTTCGGCTCAAAGTTATCCACTGCCGGCACCTGCTCCTCTGGCAAGGCATTCACATTCACATTCAGATCCACATCTGAGTCCTGGGGCGCGCCATAGGTGAGGGCTGGCTCTTGTGGGGCTGGTTTCAGATCAGCCGCCGCGGGGTATGGAGTGGGCGCCACCTCCTGCCTGGCGAATGCCACCTGCCGCAGGCGACCAAATCTCAGACGGCGCGATGACGCCTGTGCCGTACAACTGACGGCCAAGATGGCCAGGAGAAGCAGTGAGCCAATGAGCTGATAGCGTGCCATGATCGTGTGAGTTGCTGCGGCGCTTTGTTTCCGATCGTATATGGAGCTTTAACTTTTATAGTTGGCCCACTGCGGCCCTGTCCCGGGCGATTCTAGACCAGCCCCACAACGCCGTGCATATCAAGCAGGCGAGACGTCGACTATTTGAAAGCCAAGCAGGCGCCACACAGTGGACAGTGGACGTGGAGCCGAAAGGGGAAATGATTGGTATTCAAAATTCGATGCCGAAAATTCAATGGAAACTCTGACCGAAAACTGTGCCCAGTGGAAGTCTTCTACCACGGCTGGGCCCAGCTAAAAGTCACAAATTAAGTGGCCAGCAATGTTTAATGGCCAATTGTTATGGCTTAGACATGGGCCCTTGGCTAAATATTGTCACGTCGATGAGCCATCGAAAGGGTGTCCCTCGGTGTGCCAAATATGAGTGGCCAAAAATAACAGTTCGGTGTATAAAAGCCCCTCGCTGCCGAGTGACTGGCAACATTCTAAGACCACTCGACAACAGCTCAACATGGCCTACAAGTTTACCTGCTCGCTGCTCCTGCTCGCCGTTGTTGCTCTGGCTCTGGCGGAGCCTGCCAGATTCCAAGGTCGCTCCTCCCGCTTCCGGCTGGCTCGCCAGGAGGAGGCACCGCAGGACCCAGCGGCCCCTGGTGCGGATCCCTCTCTTGATGTTTCCCCGACGGCAGCCTCGGCGCCCTATCCACCAGCGGGTGTCACTCCCGAGGTGCCCTTCGACCTGCCCACGGAGACTGAGGCCCAGCCAGATCTGACATATGGCCCGCCCGCTGAGCCAGACAATACGTACGGACCCCCTGCCGAGCCGGACAACACCTATGGACCTCCTGCTGACGCTGCTCCAGCGGATCCGGCCGCGGTGGATGATGCCTTAGCCCCCGAGCCCATTCCCGCCAGTCTGATCCAGCCACGCAACGGGCGCCTTCGCAGTCGCCGTCCAGTGCCGGAAAAACTCCGCTCCGCCCAGATCATACGCTCCAGGCCCGTTCTCGTCTATACCATCTGAGGCGTGGACTTCAAGAACTGTTTTTTTATCCGAATCGTACCAAATGGAAGCATTAGGATTACTCATTAGGATATGTTGCTGTTGAATAATAAATAACCAATTAATTGTTGAATACTTTAAAAATATCCAGAATGTTGGTAGCATTATTCTTCTGGGCTTAGTCTGGGCACTAGAACCATATAATTAGCTAGCAAGACAAGGAGGCCCATTAACCTCTTCCAAGTCTCGTTGGAAGACATAAATGAAGAGTGATAGAGAGTCACACAGAGAGTTTAGTTTCCGTATTCTGGCTTTATTTTTCAGGGTAGGGTTACTACGATCTTGGTATTTGAAGCAAATCTAGCGAATCTTCTGCGTTCTGAAATAAGAAATTAACCATATAATTTTAGCAGCCACTTAAGGGATTCGAAGTGTAGCAGTGGGCCAGAAAATCGAACAGCGTGAAGGTTATTTATAAAGCTTCCTTCCAAGCATGCAACCTAACTCAACCTGTGCAATTTTATAGTCTACTCATCAGTTTCATTATATGTAGTAGCTAAATGTTTTCACAGTAGATTAAAAAACGATTCACAATGTTTCATGATGTGATTGCTTAGGTACGAAATGCCCTCTTCTGGCAGATGCCTCTGCGGACTTAACACAATACAGTGATGCCAGAGACTCGGGCAGTTGTAGATGAGATGAGAAACTATACAACAGGAAAGGTTTAATAACAGAAACAATTTAATAAATAGTGTTTTTCCATTTACCACTTCTGTTTTTGGTAATGTAACGTCAGGTCATATTTTGGCTAATTTCTATAACGCCGTAGATCGATTGTTGTCATTTTTTATACCCGTACTTAAAAAAAGTTAAGGGGTATATTAGATTTGTGGTAAAAGTAGATGTGTGTAACGCCGAGAAGGAAACGTTTCCGACCCCATAAAGTATATATATTCTTGATCAGCATCAATAGCCGAGTCGATATAGCCATGTCTGTCTGTCCGTCTGTCTGTCTGTCCGTCTTGTTGAGCGCCTAGATCTCAGAGACTATAAGAGCTATGGCAACCAAATTTGGTTTCCAGACTCATGTGATATCACACTGTTTTCAGTGTTCACCCCGCCCCCTTCCGCCTTCACAAAAGACGAAAATCTGTGGCAGGCTTAATTTTCAGTTGCTTCCCCCGCCACCCCAGCCAGAGACACGCCGCTCATTCTTTCTCGCTCGCACACTCTGCCGCGTTCAGTGCGCGAGAAACCCCTAGCGGAGGAGATGTAGAATCTAAATTGAACATGTACAATCTACATTTTAGGTGTAGAATATACATTGTGGATGTAGATGTAGATAGCAGTTGTAGCAAACAAATGTATTTTATTAAAATTCTAAAATATCATAAGCTAAAAAATGTATATACTGACTGAGTACGGGTATAAGTAGAGTCGCGTCCCCAGAAGCGACTCGCACGTCCCTTCTCGTTGAATGTGCCTTTGTACTGTTGCGTGATCCCTATTCGGAAAACCATTGGAAGCCCAAGAGATTCAAATGCTGGAATGTGTTATTAAAACAAATATATTTAGCTCTATTAAACAATTTACAACGCAATGGATTGCTTCCAAGTGCCGAAGGTTGTCAACCGACATGTGCTCAAGGCCATTTACCAGTACTCGGAGCAGCTGTTCCGGGACTCCATCGCTTTGTCAACTATTAAGCTGGAGGTGAGCTACACTATGAAGAATGTTAATCCTGTCCAAGACCTGGATAGCTTGATTCGTCGGTAAAGAACCTCACCCTAATCGGCGTTCTCAAGGAGACAGCGATCAATGGCAGCGATGAGAAGAAGTACGAGCTTCAGTTCAAGCCTGCAAACCTGTCTCAATATCAACTCTAAATCCGAGCTTCAGCCCCGCATCCTCCACAGTTTAAGAGATTGCGAGACTCTGTAGACAGTACTGGCCCTGCCGATGCCTATCGAAGACGTGGATTAGCGGTGGACTATTATAAAACAATTAAATGCGAAATGAACTAACCTTTCGACAGCCTCCGAGCTTCAACCCCGAGCTCCAGCCCCGCATCCTCCACAGTTTACGAGATTGCGAGACTCTGTAGACAGTACTGGCCCTGCCGATGCCTATCGAAAACCTGGATCAGCGGTGGACTATTATAAAACAATTAAATGTGAAATGAACTAACCTTTCGACAGCTTAGGTGCCCGTCCACCAGCTTATGATTTCACTTTTCGGATGGTTAATAAAAGCCGAAGATCCAAGAGGTCTCCGTATAGACTTGTGAAGTCAACCCACCTGGAATTTAAAGAGAATGTAGGCGTTAGAAATGATTAACAATAACGAAATTTTGAAAAACACTTGTAGCAGTGTGATATCACATGAGTCTGGAAACCAAATTTGGTTTCTCTAGCTCTTATAGTCTCTGAGATCTAGGCCGCAGATCAAGACGGACAGACGGACAGACGGATATCGCTATATCGACTCGTACTTCTCATCGCTGCCATTGAGCGCTGTCTCCTTCAGAACGCCGATTAGGGTGAGGTTCTCCACCGACGACTCAATCAAGCTATCCAGGTCTTGGATAGGATTGACATTCTTCATGCTGTAGCTCACCTCCAGCTTAATAGTTGACAAAGCGATGGAGTCCTGGAACAGCTGCTCCGAGTACTGGTAAATGGCCTTGAGCACATGTCGGTTGACAACCTTCGTCACTTGGAAGCAATCCATTGCGTTGTAAATTATTTAATATAGCTTGATATATTTGCTTTAATAACACATTCAAGCATTTGAATCTCTTGGGCTTCCAATGGTTTTCCGAATAGGGATCACGCAACAGTACAAAGGCACATTTATTTTGTTTTCTTTAGAAATGCTTGATTTGGAAAAAGGTCTACTTTTTTGGCTGCCTTGAATTGAACTGAAGGTCAACTGTACGAACTGTTGGAAAGCAGTTTGAACCGTCTACTTAGATCCGAAAAATTTAGTAACCGCACACACTTAGTAAAAAAATTTCAAATTTTATATTTTAATAAATTTTGCTCCGATTTGTATAGTGACTCCTTTTGTGGCTGCCTCGAACTGAACTGAAGGCAAACTGTACGAACTGATGGAAGGCAGTTCTATTACAATTTTTACCGACTACTTAGGTCAGAAAAATGTCGCGTAGCTGGCAAAAATATATTTATTTTATATTAAATGAGGTTTATTTAAGGCTCCAGGCCTTCTTTCCGTTCTATGTAGTATACCCAGAGTTCAAGGTGGAAAATAGACATCGGCGGATCGATTGGTGGTATTCCTAACCGATGGCCTACGGGCAGAGTCGTTTTTTTGCAAAAAATTGCAGCGGCCTGCCGCAACTCCGGGAGCTGTTCTTGAAGCAAGGTGTGGTAGGAATATTGTAACATATAACGGTGAGAGGGGCTGTTTAAATAACTGAGCGGGGTACGCGATGGCTTCCGGCTTTTCTCTGGTCGGCTGGAGTGGGTTTTGAGGAAGAGGCCGTCAGTTATTGGTGTCACTAGGTGTCGCGTACGGAAGGATGGTAACGGGAAAGGAAGACTACCGTACAGCAGACCAACACTAACGGAATAAGATAGATCAAAGAAAGAGGGCGATAGCGGTCAGGCGATGCTCGATTTGGGCTGCATGTGCTCAGCTTCACGGATGCCCACCCTACCATGATCCCCTATAAGCCAGTTGGCCGCCCGGGATCCCTCCCAAAATCGTTCAGGCATCAGACTGCGGCATCCGGTACAGGCATGGGTCCAACCAAAAAGGGATTTAATTCATGTTACTAACGCTATTTTTATTGACTAAATGAACAGTTCCAATTTTCACCATGATACTTCATGTTCTACCTAGTTATTTATGTATACATATCTGTTCCTCCTAATATTACAGGTGTCGAAAATTCCCTACAATGCGAGAGTAATAGAGTACCGGGGGGTAGCAACTTCAACTTAGGTCTAGGAATAGTATAGGAAAATGATTAAAAAGAAGAAAAAAATTAATATGCAATACAATCTAATCTATCTATATACAGAAAAATGAATCCCTATTTCCCTTGGTCCCGGCATCACGCGTGAACGGCTGGACCGATTTCGCTAATTCTTTTTTTGTTGTGTTGTGTTTGTCAGGATAGGTTTTGGGTGGCAATCCCCGATATATTGGCTGAAAAAAACTGAACATATGGTTAACCCCTTTGACAGAGAGACCTATCATTAGAAAAGTTAGCTTTGTACACGCAACACTTGGCGATCAATATGATGCGTTGCAATAGTTTTTTTTTAATTTACAAAGGAATTTTCGTTTTTAAAAATGCCAGCAAATAGACATACAGCCTTAAGTCGCATAACTCACGTCAAACCGACGAGCAACGCGCGGCGAGGAATGAAGTTGAACGGAATCGATGTAGTCGAAATCATCAACAACATAGAAATGTTGGCTTAGACCCCTATCGAGCTGCATTCAATTATAACGCTGTAATAGATTACTGTTCACAGCAAATCGTTGCTATTGGACAAATGAACGTTGTGAGCCAATACTGCAAGGAATTTAAGTTTAACGAAGAAAGATATGCCCTTGAGTCGCTTCTGGGAGATACGACTCTAGCACACATAGTCAGTATATACATTTTTGAGCTTATGATTTTTAAGAATTTGAAAATTTAAAAAAAAATTTTACATATTACATTTTTTTGCTAGATCTGTTATAGGAAATAAAGGTGTCCAAAATATAGTTTACATCTAACATTCTAGTATTACTAGATGTAGCCAGAAAAAATTACATATCTACCGCTATGGGTTGTTCGCGCACTGAACACGGCAGAGTGTGCGAGCGAGTAATTGAATGAGTCTCTGGCAGGGGAGGCGGGTAAGCAACTAAAAATTAATCTCTTTCATTTTGGCTAACATTATGATCCGATCTGATTAAGATTCGGCAGTCTGGTATATATGGTCATTCTCTACGATACTGCGTTTTAAGTTTTATCGTATCTTTAAAATTGTGCCTGCCATAGATTTTCGTTCTTTGTGGAGTCGGAAGGGGGTGGGGCTAAATTTTGAAATACACTTATAGCAGTTTGATATCACATGAGCTAGGTTGCCCTAGCTCTTATAGTCTCTGAGATCTAGGCGCTCATCTAGACAGACAGACAGACGGACAGACACACATGGCTATATCGACTCGGCTATTGATGCATATATAATATACACTTTATGGGGTCTAGTATACCCCTTAACTCTTTTTTGAGTACGGGTATAAAAATATTCAATACAAAACAAAGAGTATGCTCAAGGCCGGCATCCTACTATATCAAAGTGGTTATCTACATGTATCCGTGAAACAGAATAGAATTAAAGAAACACGTACCAAAACAAAGATTGTCTTAACACTTGCCAAATTCCTATTTTTCGGAGACCTTGATATTAAAAATGAATATTGTTATACTCGTAATTGTACTCGAACTCGTATGTGCATTAGGCCATGGTTGAAACGTGCCCATTTTTCCCCATTCTGATTGGGTAATATTCATAGTTGATTTCATTTCATATGAATACAAAACACATCAAATGAAATTATGAATGGCCAAGAACCCAGAGACAACAACAAACCAACCCCAGTCCCCAGGCGAGTCAGTGTTAATGAGATCCGATGAGTGGGGGAGTGGGGGCGGGGGCAGGGAATCGTAGGAATAGCATTGGGAATTCCGATTGGGGAAAAGGGTCACGTATCGAGCATTAAAGCAGAAATCACATCGCAGCCGATCGCAGCAACATAATCAAAGCTTTGCCGGGACCGGGAACCCAGCAGAGCATTCAGAGGCCTAAAAATCGAAAGTGACGAGCATAAATTATAACAGAACTCGACCCGCGACCGGGGAACCTACGGGGACTATAAATAAGCCAAGTTCATGCTGGAAGTCAGAACACAAGTCAATCAGCAATCGAAATGTTCAAAGCCAGCTCTGCCACCGCCGTCATTCTCCTCTTGAGCCTAGTGGCTCTGAGCACAGCTGAGCCACTGCGTCGGAGATTCTCAGCTCGACAGGTCCAGGCCCCGGCCAGTCCAACTCCAACGGGGTATCCAGAGGCGGGCGTTACACCCGAGGTTCCCTTCGATCTGCCCAGCTCTACCGCCAAGCCGGATGTGACTTATCTGCCTCCCGATAACACATATGGACCTCCAGATAATACCTACGGACCACCTGCCAGCGCAGATGTGGAGCCTGAACAGGACGAGCAGCCCGAAGATCAGCCAGAGAACCCCATCGAAACCGATGACATTCCACCTGTCGACGATGAGGCTGTGGGCGATGCCAAGCAGCAGCCAGCAGAGGATGAAGAGGAGGAGGTCCTGGTTCAAGTGTCCGACGATGGCACTGTCATTGCCGTCTCCTCGTCCCTCGATCAGCCACAGCCCGCCCAGTTGGCACGCCTCTACCAGCGCTTTCCCCAGGGTCGCCGCCGTGAGCAGCCCGTTCCACAGAGATTGATCCTGCGTCGCAGTTGGTGAAACCCTTAAACTTTCCACAGATACAACACATATTACATTCTATTACTAGTACTACTATGCCTGCTTACAAAATTGTTGTAATAAACATATTTTCATAACAGTATCTATGGGTTACACCGCTTTAGTCATCACCTCTTTGGGCACGTAACGTTTGGACTCGCCGTATAAGTCATCGGCCTCGTTGTCACTTTGGGGCAATCGATTGGGCAGACCCCAAGGCTAGGCCGCGGTATTTATAGGCGCCAATGGGTTAGACCAGGCAGCAGTTCAAGCTGGGACAGCAAAATGTTTGGTTATCTTACTCTTGTCGCTCTACTCTGCCTTTCTGCGGGCACATGTCTGGAGGCGGGCGAAGCGACGCGGCTGAGGTTTCCAGGACCCGCGAAGGGAAAATCATTGCCATTGATCCTGCAGAGACAGGATGATGCGGCGCCATATCCACCGGCGGGTTTCCTGCCCGATCCACCATTCGAGTTGCCCACGGAGGAGGCGGCCGTGTTTCCTGAACCTGATGACACCTATGGCCCACCGACTGAAGTTTATGGAACACCAGATGAGGTCTACGGACCACCTGCTGAGGTCTATGGACCGCCAGCTGATGTTTACGGACCCCCAGACCAGACTTACGGCCCACCAGATCAGGCAGCCAATGACGACAGTGCCAACAGCTTGCCCCAGAGTGCAGCCATCATAAATCTGGCCAGACCGCCCCAGAGTGCAGCCATCATAAATCTGGCCAGCCTGCCGTTGCCGCCTCAGGCACAGTTCGTTCTGCCTTTGCTGAACCGTTTGTCCGCCTTCCGTCCACTGCGCCCCGCCCTGCTGACGCCACAGCGGAAGCCAGCCAAAATTGTCAATGGCATCCAGGGACACGCAGTTTTTCCATCGACGCAGCTGGCACTGCCCTTTGTGGACCGCCGCATTCCCTTCCGGCCACGACCAGCGCGCTTGATTGTGAACGCTCCACTCCGGAGGCCAGCCAGGCATTAGCACAGATCATTCACTATTCTGACCGTGAGCAGAGTGCCCCAATGATAAATTTGATACAAGTTCTGTAAATAAAGTCTGTTGTTTATGTCTAACCTTTGAATTGGAACAGTAAGTGGGTGTAGAACGAGAGAGTTCAGAACGCCAGCCGCTTCATTAGCAGATACATGTGCTGGTCCACCTCGAAGCCGTGCAAATTGTTGGCATCGCCCTGCAGGCGCATGAGGAGACCACCGAACGAGACGTACGCCGACAGACGAGAGGCTTCATTGTGGGCCTCGTCGCCCTCAATGCGATAGATCTTGCCGTACATCACATACTCGAAGCTGTCGGCCCGCGTGCCCTCGTGCTCCATGGGATTGTATTCGCCGCTGTCGGGGCAGCCGTCTTCGCGCAGCGTTGTGGCCAGCACCAAGCGGAACTTGTCGCCCAGTTCCATGGGATAGAGCCACGAGTTGATGTCCAGAATGAGGTCCATTTTGAATGACTCGGATTCGCAGTGCAGGCGGGAGACACGGTCGAACTTCTTGCCCTCGGGGTCCATATCCTTCACGTTGAATATATCCTCGAATAGTACTCCAGCCATGGTAGCGTAGCTGCAAGGGCTAAGAATGAGGGTTAAGGTGTCAAACCGCCAAAAATACGCATTACCTTGTGTCTGTGGTTGGTTCTATATGTGTGTTATACTTCGATGGGAGGTACTGCCTTGACAGGTGCGGTTTTTTGTTATCCTAACTTGTATATTTACAATTAATATAATTGCGCGTGTTTCTAAATCCGCTAGGGATGGAAAATATTACTATAACAATATATCGATATATTTTAGGTATTCGATGTGGCGTGGCATTAAACACGATTTTTACATGAATTTTACTGGGTGGGGTGTGCTAGCACAACAAGGTGAGTCCATTATCGAACACAAGCATATATATTTTATCAGCCTATCGATACAAAGTTCGCATCGATATCGATATTTTTGTGCGATAAGAGGAACCTGGATTTGAAATCCAAAACCATGCTACGTTATCAGCAGACTTTTCTTTTTCAAGAACAAGATATTATTGGGCAGCTTACACGACGATGTAAATTTTCCGTCGACCGAAAGTGCTATATACTCCGCTCAGTACCCAGGGTAACCAAAGTGGTCAAAATCTGCATGCTCTACGGTTACACTGTTTTGCGTTTGTTTACAAACAGAAATCTGTTTGAATTTCAAATGTTATATTGAAGCAAGCAGAAATGTCTTATATATGTGCGCTGTGGCGCTGGAGGACGATATTGCAATATTGGATAAATAAGATCCTGCAGTAGAGATATGAAATCAACATGGTTTTTATCTCCTTTTAAATAATTAAAATGAGTACCGGCTATAGAATTAATAAATAGATTTTTATTTTTGTATTATTCTGTTGCAGCTATGAAAATATCCCATCTCTAAGCTGAAGGTGTGACCGTACAGTCTTCGCCACACATCCCATCCCTAACTCTAAGAACAACGAAAACACCACCAAAAAAACTCTTATCTTTATTTTATTAAATAAGTTTGCTAATTAGCAACCATCTTGCATTGTTTGACCCTCGTGCGTGGCCTAGGACTATTCGCAGAGGGCAAGATGGTTATTCTTGAAGGGCTCTAGGCATAGAACGCGGCGCTGGCGAAAAGTATGTACACTCTTTGATGGGCGTTGAAATTATAAACAAATGAAATCCAAGTGTCCGTGGCGAGAATGTAGCAGAGATGTTGGCAAGCCCCAGCGGAGGTGTGCGCAAGTCTGGTCTGGTCGTTAGCTTTTCCCAATGGTGATGATGGTAAGTCCAAGATTGACTAGTTCTGGTGATGGTGAAGAATGCACCCCGATTCGTATTCGAAACATCTGTACTTAATTCGATTGTATGTAATGATTTTGTGGTGCTGGAAATTACTAACAAACCAACGAAGAGCACCGCCCCCCGAAGAAAACTGTTGACTCGTGTCGCGGGCTCTCGTACCTCCGGGGACTGTCGAATACAAAAGACTTCAACGCTGACCTCCCCCTCCCATGCACTCCCCCCACTCACCCACAGGCGACATCGTCTATTTAGCATTACAAAACTGTTGTTGTTATGTATTCACTTCTTTATTTTCGCTTTTTTGTGTGATTTTCGCTGTCGTTCGTGCTTTTTCCGCGTTCTCTTTCAGTTCCAATTTTCAGTTTCAGCTCTGGATTCTCTAGCTTTAATTCGCTTTTGTCAACGGCTCGGTTTCATCGGTTCTGTTCTCCGTCGCAGTGGTGTGCAATGGGGAAGGGAACGGAACCCATTATGGAGGGGAGTCTATAAAGTTTTCTAGTGAGTTGTTTTCGACACGGGTGCGGCTTTAATGAAGCATTACCCCGCCGTAGCGGGGGGTAGGAAACGAGGGTTCCTGAGGAACCAACCCAATCTGTTTGCCAGATGTTTAATTTCTGCTAACTGCTGCAGGGTCATCGTCTGCTCTGACTACGAGTACATTTTCTGTGTGCTCTGCTTCCATTTTCATTGGAAACTCCGCTGTCTTCGGGAGCAGACGGACGCCTCAGGTTGCAAGAACAAAAAGTGAGACAGACTATCTATGGAGACTATCTATAGCTTCTTGTGTGAGTGAACATGTGTGGCTTGTGCGCGAGGTCTTATCGGCAGCCGTACAGTCAGCGCGCCTTATCAGTTATTGCCTTGCTTCCCCGAGGTCTCACCACTCGAGCATTATTGCATTGCTCTCTGTCAGTATATCATCTCTCTGGCGATCCGTTCCGTCTGTCGCCTCCCTCACAAACAAAAGATTGAGAAAGCAAACTGGGATTGTTGTGGTGTGGCCAAGTGTTCCCGGGGAAAACCAGATGATATTGTGATCAAAATAAAAGCAAAAGAGAGTAAACTTTTCTAGTTCTTATCAGTATTGACACAGCTGGAAGTTATGTGGCCTGTTCTCTTTCGCTCCTCGCTCTTCGGTTGCTGTTGCTGTTGCTGTTTCTGTTTCAGTTACTGTTAGTATTTCTGTCCGCTTTTGATGATTGTTCGCTTTGTGACCGCGTGTCCCCCGTGTGCCCCGTCAGAGCGTGGCGGCGCACTACAACATTCCGCATTACGATCTCAAGCAATAACAACTCTCAACTCTTTTCCAGCCCATCTGCTAGACTCCATCTAAAACTAATCCAAAGGTGTGTGGGATCTATCCTAAGAGTATCGAAACCAAAAATAAAATAAAATAAAATAAAAACCAACTACCACAAGTACATCGTAGAAATCTTAATAACCCCCGAACCGTAAACTTAGAAAAGCTGGTGCCGGTGTCCAAGCAAAGCCCTAGATATCAGTACATAACTAACCTCAAAATGGTGCGCAGCCGTCGCAGTCTCTCCAAGGAGGATGCCGTGTCCCTGCTCACCGACAGCGGGATCTCATTGTCATCGCCACCGACGGCGCGAGGCTCCTCGCCCACCTCCTCGTCGACGCTCTTCAAGCGTAGGAAGAGCAGCCTCGCCAGCCTGCAGGATGCCTACGCAGAGGAAGACACCGAGCAGGACTCGAAGGATGCGGACTATGTGCAGCCCACGCCCAAGAAGTCCACGCGCAAGTCTGAACCAGGGCGGCGCAAACAGCACGTGTGCAGCCATTGCTCCAAGGAGTTCGGGGGCAAGACGGATCTGCAGCGCCACTTGCTGATCCACTCGGACGAGCGGCCGCACAAGTGCGCGGATTGCGGCAAGTGCTATCGGCAGGCGGTGAACCTGAAGAACCACATAACCACCGCCCATGAGCACAAGAAGCAGTTCGTCTGCGCCGAGTGCCCAAAATCGTTTGCCCTCAAGGAGCGACTGAGGCTGCACATGCGCCTCCATTCGGGGGAGAAGCCGTATCAGTGTCCCATCTGCGACAAGCGGTTCGCCAGGGGCGGTCAGGTAAGTGCAGTGCAGCAAAACCAACGCTATCTGCTATCCTTCATATTTGCCGTCTCTCCTGTCTCCATATCCATATCCATATCCAGCTACAACAACACATGGTGTCCCATCATAAGACGTGTATACAGCAATTCAACTGCACCAAATGCTCCGCCAGTTTCTCAACGAACGCCAATCTGCGGGTACATATGGTGCGTCACGAGCAGGGCATGGAGCACCGGTGCAGCATCTGCGAGAATCAGTTCGCCAATGAGCTGGCCCTGCGCGCCCACATCAACCAGAAGCATCACAAACTCACGAAGTTCGAATGCGAATTCTGCCACAGAGTCATAGAGCCCGACGAGGACCTAGCCACCCATATGCTGAAGCATGCGGCCATCAAGACGCATGTGTGTGAGGTGTGCAACTCGTACTTTACCCAAAAGTCTCAGTACAACGTCCACATGAGGATGCACACGGGGGAGAGGCCATACCAGTGTCGAGTAAGTTTCAGTCGTGCGATTCCCACTGAAGATCGATATGCCAATAGCTTCTCGTTCTTTTGCAGATCTGCCACCAGACCTTCGCGCACTCCAGCGTGCTCAAGCTCCACATACGCAAGCATACGGGTGAGAAGCCATTCCGTTGCCAGCTGTGCACGGATGAGGTGGCCTTCTCGCAGTTGGCGCATCTCAAGAACCATATGAAGAAGATACACAAACAGCAGAAGCCGTACATGTGCGACGGGTGCCATGAGTTCTTCAAGATCAAGGTGGAGCTGCAGGCGCATGCCGAGCAGTGTGCCAAGTGTCCGGCAGCCGAAGGGGATAACACGGACAGTCAGTCAGATGATGCTCTGGTTCTCTCCACCATTCGCTTCAACATGGCCGTGATCCTCAAAAAGATAAGCTCTGCCCAGAAGCTGCGACAATTGGGCTATGAGAAGCGTTTGATTGACAATGTTGTCATTGCCTCATTGAAGCTGGCCCAGCGTCCCACGCACGACGATGCCAAGCTGACGCCCCTGGCCAGGCTCCTTCTGAATGTGGAGGAGTTCCTCAAGTGGATTGTGCCGGCCCCCACCATGAAGAAATTCAGCGAAGAGTTGCTCTCCACCACCACCATTCTCGACAAGATTGCCACCATGTATATGAAGCAGAAGTAGAAAACACGAAGATAGG